TGTCGTTATAATTAAATACGATTTGTAAGCGCGTGTCGCGGCGCGCCTACACTAGACACGCCCATTGACCGCTTATGCGAACCAGAGAAATTAACTATGAAGAAAGAAAAAAATAAAAGGAAGAAAGAAAGCATCGATGAGAGTGTAAAAGCAGAAGAAAGGGGATGCAAAGTAGACGAAAATGAGTGTTTTATGTGTGACAATGTCAATTGTACATACGTTCGGCTTTTTTTAGTAACTTTCTGTTACCTAGGGATATTTTTCTAGTGTCTCCATATTTAATTTACTACTTGATTTTTTGCAGTCTGTTAAATCGTAAAATTAAAAAGAACTATACTTTCCTGTAGACAATTTGTCTCTAGTAGAACAAGTTTCTAGGTTAGGTTGAAATTTGCTTTTTACTGTTTCCAGAGCCGAACGCACAGTCTAAGAAAGTGTAGAAGCACATTATGCAAATAGAAAAAACGAAAGGAAAAATCTTAACCAAAAAATAAAAATGAAATTTCCTGGAATATAAAGATACAGTTTAGATCAATTATGGGAATTCTTTGTAGCTAGAATTATTAAATAATATTCGTATTTTTCGCTGTTTCGCGTGTCACGTGTATTCATTTGTCCGAGTTCGCTTTTAGAGATTCGCGTCGTAACAAGAGTTTTCGCGATAAAATGTAAATGCTGGGGTGGGTCGCTATGAACGGTGATAAGAATCTATTTTCCGTTGCATTTATTAATTACGTGTACACGCCAGGCATGACGGGTAATGTTGAGGATTTTCGCTTTCGAGAACTGACTTTTTTATGTCGTTCTAAATACTAATTGTAACGATAACGGTAATGGTAACAATAATATTAATATCGATAATATAAACAAGAAAAAATAATAAATAACGATGTGCGTTCGAATTGCTAATAATAAAGTAAATAATAATTATAATACCATATACTTTAAGGCGCGTTTTCACCCATCATGCCTGACTTGCGTCGTGCTTTATTTTCTAGTTTGTGAACGAGAGAAAGGATTTATCGCGCTGCAACGTTGTCGATCTCAATGACGATCGAGTGTGTTTATTAAGTGATTGGAATGATTATCGATTATATAGTAGAGAAAATATTCAAAATGGGGAATCCTATACACTCGGACACCAGAGCTACAACGATCATTCCGACTCTCTTTTCGTTTTGCAGTACAACGCGAGTGTACGGTCGTGTTGTCTAGAGGGGAAAAAATGGCGGCATACGGATATATGCTTCGAGGTAGTATTATGTTACATGCAAGTAACGAACACGAATCATTATTAACAATGTAGGTGAAAAGTGGTTCGGGTGAGAAGGGTCGATTAGTTTCACTAATTAGCCGGAAATCGGTTTTCACGGCATGAAAACTACCAACGTGATCGATAATTTCAATCAATTTAGAGTTCCAAATCCATTTTCAACAAAAAGATAGTTATTGAAAATGGAACTAAGATAATAGATCTAAGGGAATATTTTAACGTGCAACATTTTCCATTATGCTATTTTACCGATCATAAGTTGGTAGCTGATGTGCTGAGAGTGATGCTTGATAGTGAACCGATATATCTCTTGCGAGTAAAGAGAGTGGAGGATCATAAAGGTAGGGTTCTAACGTCGCCGATTCCGGTAATAATTTAGTTAAGTCCAGACTAATTCAAGAGGAAGTGTCGATGGAAGTCGTGCGCGACCGTTGATCGATTATAAATCAACAGTAGACATATAGTAGAGCGTGACAATTTCAGAGAGATAGTACTACAAAGTTGTTTCGTTGATTGTTTTCATAGCTTTTATTGTGCCGTGACCGCATCGTGTGCTCTTGCTAACAGAATCGTTCGTTTAATTGCTGACTAAAGATAACAATAAATCATTGACTCAGCAACAAATGTATCACTACGGTGAACGTATCCGACATAATCTTATTTCAAGGTTACCACCATCTTTGATTTAAAAATACACCATGTGTCAGCCGTTAAAGGTAATTCGAAGGGTTTGTAGAATTCGTAATAGAATATGTAGGAATATTTGTGATTCGTCATACGGAATTCGTAATTCTGAATGACGAAGAACAAAAGTAATGATGAATTCAATCAATTAAATGATCCTGTCGAGTATTTTCTTCGAATGGATAAGTATTAATCATTTAATTTTTTCCCCCTTGAATTGAACCGATGATTAATTTCGATTAACCTATATTTAACCCTAGAATTCCTGAGCTTCGAGCCGTCATGCGAAAGCCTGGGGATCCTCGAATTCATACTTCTTCTTACACATTTTTCCTGAAAAAACTGATTTTTGAAGAAAGTTTTATAACATTTGAATACATTTTACTTTGTAAAAAAGGTAGCACATGTTTTTGCTTTAAATTTATTTTTAGTTATATGTATTTATAGAATAAAATAGTATTGTATAATAGTGTACTAACATGAAACTAGTCTGAACGTTATTCTTCTCATGTCAAATACGAATAGTAAAGTTGATTGTAAAATGCTTGATTGTAACTGATTGAATGCTGCATCGTTCCTTTTCGACTAGTTAGTTCGATTTTTCATTCTGTAATAATTTGTTATTCTTTGGATACAAAAAGAACGTAAGAACGTAAGAACGCTTCGCGTGATCGTTAGTTCTACGACACGTAGTTCGTTTTCTTTTTCTTATGCATAATATTTTTCACATATAACAACGGTTACTTCTGAATATCAAACTTAAATGTGTATACGACAATAAATAATTTTTTGAGAATTTTTTACAGAAAGGAAATAGTTCTAATTTAACATTTTTCGACTTGTGGGTTCGAGGAACCCCCCTTTAGAAGTTCTAGGGGTTAAGGTTCAATCAAAATTGGAGTCCTGGCAAGCTACCGAATTGACTCAACGAAAAGAAGGAATACAATGAAAATCAAATCTTCGATTGTTAATTAAATATTATGCGCAAAATAATTTTTTTATGCGTGGGAGTTATTCTTTTAGAGAGAATGAAGATCCAGTTTCACCAACTGCGAAGTAGGGACATTATATCTAGGGTGGTATAATCGTTAGATCAGGTCCGGTAACCTGAAAGAACAAATTCCCTAAATAGATCGATATCAATCGTTGAAATCGATTTGAAAAAAGGAAAGAAAAATGATCGCGAAGTCCCACGGGACGCGGCCACGCCTAGCCACGACTATTTTTCTAAGTTGCAAAGCATAATAAATTAACGATGTTGCATTATCGTTATTAGAGTATATTATAATGTACATTGATATTTTAACTAGCCGAGTAAGTATGAGATAATATTAACGAGCATAGTAAACAAGCTGCATATAATGTATTATTATACATATACATATTGTAGATAATCTTGGTTGCGATCGTCACTATCGACTAATCGTGCCGGTTCGCACTAGGGGGTCGGTGTGTAAGCGCGCGCGCGCATAGCGACGCGCCATTTAGCCTGATATACTGATTTAAATTGAAAACGACGGCGGCAGGGAGGCGAAAACGAGATTAGAAGATTACGAAGCAAGATTTATGCGATTCTAGATGTACCATTGTAAATTCCAGTGTCGTCGATTGATTTGCAATTGAAGACAGACAGGGGTAAAGATTCACGGAGAAAGGAAAAAAATTCCTAGACGCGCGTAGAAACGAAGCTGGAACTACATGGAGAAGCGTATAAATATATGAATGCGTGATTGAGCGTGTATGAATGGAAAAAATGCAACTGTTTCGGTCTTCGACCGGAAAAACAAAGAGAATTAGAAATATGAATCGTACTGTCAGTCACCTCACATATATTATACAATGTCATAATACTATGCTGCCATATGATATAAATATATGTCTACGAT